ACAAACAGTTGAACACAACTGAAAAACAACTGAACAACAAAAAGCCATGTGACTTGGGGCAAGTTAGGTAACCTCTCTCAGCATGTGCCCTCACCTGCATAATGGGGATAATATCAGTCCTGCCAACCTCAAGGGTTGCCGACAGGGTTTTCTTGTACACAGAGGAGCTCTACTAGTGTTAGTTGATTGAATGAAATAATATACATGAAAGAATGAATTTTGGAAACAACATAGTGCTATACAGGATCACTGAGTCGCAGAACATTAGAGGAGAAGGGAACCTTAAAGATCACTTAGTCAGACCCCCTTCATTTTGCTGAGGAGGGAACTGAGGCCTAGAGGGGGAAGGAGACCTGACTTCTAAGTCTGTTACTGCTACTTGCTAGCTTACATTCATTGCAAAGTTCCCAACTTGAAAAATTAAAGAGAGAGAAGGAAATGAGATGCCGAAGGAATTTCCCATACAAGAAAATCTAGATCAAGGCTTTCATGAGGAAGTAACTTAGTATGAGAGTCAGGCCATTAGATGGCTTTGTGACCTGGGTGAATTGGTTCCTTTCTCTGAGATAAAATGATCTATGAATCTACACTTAAGTTCAGGTTATAAATAGTCTCTCTAGGAGTCTTAGATAATTTTTAGGAATGGTGTAATGTTCTTTCTTTACATATTACCAACGAGAAATTAGTGGCTGCTGCTTTAGTGTTTTTGAAAGGAGAAAACAGAAAAGGCCTACAAAGCAGACAATGTCTCCACAAAAATGCATGAGCACTCGGCACCCTCTTCTGCTTGTCCCTTTGCCACATGGTTGACAGCCAACGTTCCCTTTTCAAAGTGTTAATAAATCCTTCAGAGTTGACTTCTGTCTTAATACCCATCCAGACTTAAGAGAAGGAAAGTACCACTGTCTGCTTCTAGCACAGGTCTTGTGTGTGGGGGCGATGGGCAACGAGAACAGTCCAGAATGAGAACCAGTCACTATTTACAACAGGCTATAGTACAAGATCGTCCACCACTGGCTTGAGCAAAGAATGATTTGCTCATTCATTTCCATTTGTACTTTCTCATAATTTGTAACATCTCCCTTTAGTTCCTACAAAGCCATGAAAGAGTTATTTTCCTGTATAATGCATGTATTGATCAAGCGATGGAGATACAGGTCATAGATAAGGTCAGAGATTAAGAGGTGGAAGGGACCTCAAAGGTCATCTAGTCTAACTTAGCTGAAGGAAACTGAAGCTCAGAGAGGGACAGTGATTTTCCCAAGGTCACAAAGATAACAAATAGCAGAGCTGGGATTTGAATTTAGTTCCTCTGACCTCAAATCCAGTACTCTTCCCACTGCACCATGTCAACTCTAGGTCCATCACTGAATGAGAAAAATATTCTATCCATTGGCTTACAAATATACTTACTATATGGTTAACCACAGAGCTCCTCCACCCGTCAGAATAAACAGCAATGACAAACAGGCAAGCGCCATGACTTCTGCAAGAGACCGGTTATGTATCATTATTTAAAGTGGAGAAAGGGAAAACACACACACACACAGATTCAATCGATCTGCCATGATTCTGTTTTTGATCTGTTGATTGATTCCTATATTACTATGCTGGCTACCCAAATGACAAAGTACTTACTGTGTGGATGTGGCTGTGAACGTACAAAGGTACCTACTAACCATTTAAATAGCTTTGATTTCTGGAGTGCTTCATATTTTATGTAGCCACTTCCATGTATATATTATCATCTCATCTGAGCCTCAGAACAACTCTGTGAGATAGGCAATGCAAAGCTTATTAGTGTCATTTTATAGAGAGAGCAAACTGAGTCTAGGCAAGGTTGGGGTTAGGTCACACAGCTAATAAATGCCTGAGGCTGAATTCACACTCAGGTCTTCTGATCCTAAATATAGTACTCTTACTAAAATACTAGAACAACATATGCATTTTTAAACAAAATTTCATAAAATTCTATCAATGTATATATTGTAAATCTGGGGATGATTATTGCCTCAGTTTCCTAATTTGTAATGTAAGTCTAGCCAACAAACATTTATTAATCACTTTCTGTGTGCCAGGCACTGTGCTAAATTGCTGGGGATACAAAGAAAGCAAAAGACAGTTGTGTTCTCAAGGAGCTCACAGTCTAATATAGGGAGGTGGACCAGATGGTATATACAGATCACAACCCACCCTACCCTTTTTATCTTATGCCACTCTCGTCCATGTCCTCCCATAAATACTCCATGGGGGTCCACTCAACTCCTTGGGAGCCTTATGCCTCACTATCCACACAGGAAAAACCAAGTAGATAAAGAATTCCATGAACTTCAATGGACAGCCCATTGAGTTGGTCCATCAGTAAAGAGAGGACAAACACTTTGGATGGAAAATGAAATGTGTCTAGAATTGAACAGTAGAAGGAAAGGGGGCATAGTGCTTCAAATGATCTCAGATTTCTCTTTGAAACAAAGGAAAAATTGATGTTTTTCCAGTGATATCATAAAGCTGGGAATCTTATAACATTACAATTTCTAAAGAATTAAACTTGAGGGTTCTCCAAAGAGCAAAGGAGAGGATATGACTAGGATGCACCACATAGCCAGTGGAGAATGGAATGAGAAAACCGGTATAAAGGATATCATTAGAAAGACGCACAACTAGAAAAGGAGGTAGGCCAGCCATTTGGTCTGAGTAAAAGGTAACTGATGGACAACCTACCTGCTGCACTGTTAGAGATACAAGATCAGGAGAGCTAGAGGAAGGCTCTCGGTACATTGGACGGGCTTCCCTCCCCCCAACCTTCCTTCACCCTGGGAGACTCTATAGGAAGATATATGTAAGAATGATGCAGTCTAAGGCATGGTAGACAGGTTGTGATCTGTATCTCTTCCCCTCCTGACCACACACTACACAAAGCTTATGCCATTTATGTCATGCCCTCCACAGAATCTTCCCTGCTTCTACCCCAGTCGGTCACCCCTCCCTGGCTACCACTCCCCCATGTGTTGTCTTTTCCATTAGAAAGTAACCTCGCTGAAAGCGGAGACCATCTTTTCTATTTGTATCCCAAGAGCTTAGCATAGTGTTTATCACACAGTAAGTGCTTACTAAATGCTCTTCCTTTCTTCCTTTTTTTTTCTTTCATTCACTTTCACATTTATGAGATCAAGGACACACTGACATAGCAATGTAATCATATTTTCTGTCCAGAATTATGTATTTCTGAAATAACATAGCAAAAACCAAGCAATTTATTATAATTAGACTTTATCAACCTTGGTTCCATTTGATCCTTTTCTTCCTTGGAGAATGTTCTTTCACATGTTTATTTGGGTCAGTGTATGCCTCTTTCATGTCCATGTCAGTTTTTGTAGTATCTGGAATAAAAAATGAGCATTAGTTAGGAAGTCACTATTAGGATTGAACTATGTAGCAACAAGATGTGTATAACTATATTACTCAGGGATGTTCTTCGAGTATGGTCATGAAGATATTGGTCCCAACCCTTCCAATTCTGGGGGAAAAATTGATGGATAAAAATTCAGGGAAGGAGGAATTGGGGAGAAGAATATCAAGCTATTGTCAAAAATAATCTCAAGTACATATATATGTGTCTGGATCTCTATGTGTATATGTGCACATATATATTTATTTTTTATGTACACATTATAATATACACATACTCACGGAAATATAGATACAACTACTCCACAATTTCTCATCACGGAGACAACTCTCTAGTTGTTAGCTCTTTATTCCCTTTATTTCTCCCTTTTATTCTCTTTATATGTGTCTTTGTGTGAGAGTCATTCTGGGCATGGATATATGTGTCACTCAGGCCAGTGTGCCTACTGAGAGATATGTGTTACTGTAGGGTCACACAACCCAGAGTATAGAGTGATGTGTGATTGTATGTGTGGGAGTCATTCATCCCATTGTTGTAAATGAGAGGGGTGTGTGTGTGTGTGTGTGTGTGTGTGTGTGTGTGTCTAAGTATCAATTGGGCCTGTGTTTGTATCTGTGTGCGGGAATCACTCAGGCCAATGTGTTCAGTGAGCAGTGTGTATGTGTATATCTGTAGGAGTCACAAGGTTGGGTGTCAGCTGAGGAGTGTGTATCTGTTAATGTGTTAGCACAGGAGTCACTCAGGCCATTTTGGTTAATGAAGGGGTGTGTGTCTATGTGGAGGAGTCATCCAGCTCCGTGTTGAATAAGGGGTGCATGTTTGTATGTATATGTTTATATGTCTATGTAGGAAGCCAGTGTGTCTAATGTGTGTGTGTGTGTGTGTGTGTGTGTGTGTGTCTATGTGTTTGTGAGCAATCACTCATATCTGTATGTCTACTGAGGGGCTATATACATCTCTGTGTGGGAATCTCTCAGGTCAGTGTGTCCAGTCAGGGTAGTGTGTGTGTTTTTGTTTGCATGTTACTCTTGGCAGTGTTCAGTTTTGAGAGTTGTGTATTTGTGTCTGTGTGTATGATTCCCTCAAGTCAATTTGTCCTGTGAGGGTAGTGTGTGCATGTCTATCTATAGGAGTCATCCTGCCTATTGGGTCCAGTGAGGGCTATACATGTCTTTGTGCATGTGTGAGTGTTTGTGTAGGAGTAATACATTTTAGGGTATCCAGTGATGTTTGTCTATGAAGCAGCTATCCGGGCCAGTGCCTCCAAAGAGTTTTATGTGTGTGTTTGTTGGTGTATGGGAGTTACTCAGCCTACTGTGTCTGTGTGTACTTAGCACTCATTCAGGACAACATTTTCAAGGCGAGGTATACATATCTACGTGTAGGATTTACTCTGGCCATTGTGTCCATCAAAGGGGTACGTATATGTATTTCTGTGTAGGAGTCACAGTGCATTCATGTCAAGTGAAGTTATGTGTCTGTGTGTCCATATTTTTATGGAGGAGTCACTCAGGTCATCGTGGTCAATAAGAGGGAAGTGTTTGTGTGTCCGTATAGAGGAGTTATTCAGGGCAGTATGTCCAGGGAGAGGAGTGTGACTGTGTAGGACTTACACAATCCAGGGTGTCCAGTGAGGTGCGTGTCTGTGTGTAGAAGTCATTCAGTTCAGTGTATACATCAGGGGGTACGTGTGTGTGTGTGTGTGTGTATGTGTGTGTGTGTGTCTGTTTATGGAGGAGTCATTCAAGTCATTATGTTCAATGAGACATGTTTGTGTGGGTCTGTGTGTGGCAATCACAAAACTCAGTATGTCCAGTGAGGGGTGTGTATTTGTACATAGGAATTACCTAGACCAATATGTCAAATGAAGGGTGTGTCTTTGTGTAGGAGTTATTCAGGCTAGTGTGGTCAATGATGGTAGGGGGGTGTATGTATGTGTGTGTGTGTGTGTGTGTGTGTGCGCGCGCACGTGTGCCTAGTGGTCTGTATGTGCAATGAGCTCCATGACATCAGCCATGGCTAATAGGGAGGGAGTGGGGGTGTTTCTGAAGGCTGAGAACAGTAAAATCACGCTGAACGTGAAATAGCCAAGATATAAAGGCACAAACAGCTTCCTTGGATGGTGCATCTTCTGCGTCTGAGCTGTCCAAGTACAGGTCTGGGCCCTGCTCAGTGTGTGCAGTGCTGAAGTGAAATCAGAGAGAATGAGTAAGGCCTCACAATTTCCCCAAGAGGTATTCAGCTACTGCCCTAGACATTATGCATCTGAAATGAAAAGGTAAAATGAAAGAACAATTTATGACAATTAAACTTTACCAACCTTTCCAATCGGCTCCTTTCTTTAGCCAAATGTGGCCTAGAGAATTGTTCGGGTACTCCTTTACCAATGATGCCTTTCTGAAAACAGTAACTGAAATGAAAAAAATGAGACTCAATGTGGAGATTATTGCTGCAACCAAATAACATCACCACCAGCTCTGTGTGTAGAGTCCTTGGAGATGCCCTCCAAGCATGGCCTTCCCCTCAGGGGCCTTCCTGGAGCGTACACCAGTGATTGGGAATGGGCATGAAGGCTTTGAAAATAAAGCACCCAAGGCCACTCCCGGGCCCAGATGGCACCATGTCTTTCTTGGGAACTGCATCCCCCACAAACCTCTGGGGTAGGTCTATAGCACAGCAATGTGCCACACAGCTCTGCAAGTCTTCAGAACAAAGACATGAGGGGTTGTGGATAAAGCTGGAGGGCAGAAAGGAAACAGCTGGGCAGCAGCGGAAGTGCAGGTGACCAGAGGCCAGGGGCTAAGCCATTTGGGCATGGCCTCAGGTGGCCAGGAGTAGGCACTAGACTGGAAAAACATGTCCTGCAGCCTCTCTGCCCCGTATCTTTGCTCAGACAGTTCTCAGCGACCGCCAAGCTCTTTACCAGTGGAATTCAAAGGTTAACTATTCCAAGAAGGCCTTCTTGTCCCCCTGCATTCCCCAACATAACCTTGCCCCTTAGACCTTACCTTTCATATGAGTGAACTGAGTGTGTTATGTATGTGTGTGTGTGCGTGTGTGTGTGCGCGCATGTGTGTGAGACAGACACACAGAGATAGCGAGAGGAAGGGAAGGAGACAGAGAGAGAACACACAGGGAGGGAGAGACAGAGAAAGATACAGAGAGTAGGGAGAGAGACAGAGAGTGGGGTTGGTGGTGACAAGAGAGAAAAGAGACAGAGAGGGAAGGACAGACAGACAGACAGACACAGCGGCACAGCGAGATAAAAGACAGAGACATAGACGCAGAGAGACACATAGAGACAGAGAGACGTAGAGCGAGAGAGACAGGGAGAGAGAGAGATGGGGACATACGCATAAGACATAGAAGCAGAGAGACACATAGAGAAAGAGAGACATACAGGGTGAGAGGGAGGGTGAGAGAAAGATAGACACACATACACATAAGACACAGAAGGAAAGAGACACAGAGAGAGAAAGAGATAGATCGAGAGAGGCAGGGAGAGAGAAAGGCAGGGACATACACATAAGACACAGAAGCAGAGAGACACATAGAGACAGAGAGACAGAGCGAGGGAGGCAGGGAGAAAGATAGAGAGACACATAAGACACAGAACGAGAGAGACACAGAGACAGAGAGACATGGAGAAAGAGGCAGGGAGCGAGAAAGAGACATACATATAAAACAAAGAAACAGAGAGACACAGAGACAGAGAGACATATAGCAAGAGAGGAAGAGAGAGAGAAAGACAGAGAGATACACAGAAGACACGGAAACAGAGAGACACGTATACACAGTGAGACATAGAGCGAGAGTGGCAGGGTGAGAGAAAAATAGACACACACACGTAAGACACAGGAGGAGAGAGACACTGAGACAGAGAGACAGAACTAGAGAGGTAAGGAGAGAGAAATATAGAGACATACACATAAAACACAGAAGCAGAGAGACACATAGAGACAGAGAGACATAGAGGGAGAGAGGCAGGGAGAAAGATAGAGAGATACACATAAGACACAGAGAAACATAGAGCGAGAGAGATACACATATACACGTATACGTATCTCTACGTCTCTCTCCTTCTGTGTCTTATGTATTTGTCTCTGTCCTTCTCTCTCCCTGCTTCTCTCATTCTATGTCTCTGTCTCTATGTATCTCCCTGCTTCTGGGTATTATCTTATGTCTCTTTCTCTCTCCCTACCTCTCTTGCTCCTTGTCTCCCTGTCTATGTGTCTCTCTGCTTCTGTGTCTAATGTGGATGTCTCTTTCTCCCTACCTCTCCTGCCTCTCACGCTGTATGTCTCTCTGTATCTACCTGTCTCTCTGCTTCTGTGTCTTAAGTGTATGTCTCTAACTTTTTCTCTATCTGCCTCTCTCACTCGATGTCTCTCTGTGTCTCTCTGCTCTTGTGTCTTACGTGTATGTCTCTGCCTTTCTCTCTCCCTGCCTCTCTCGTTCTATGTCTCTCTCTACCTGTCTCTCTCCTTCTGTGTCTTATGTTGTGTCTCTAACTTTCTCTCTCCCTGTCTCTCTCACTCTATGTATCTCTGCTCTTGTGTCTTATGTGTATCTCTCTCTCTCTCCCTGCCTCTCTCGCTCTGTCTCTACCTCTCTTGCTCTTTGTCTCTGCCTCTCTGTGTCTCTCTGCTTCTGTGTCTTATGTGTATGTCGCTATCCTTCTCTTTCCCTGCCTCTCTTGTTCTATGTCTGTCTGTCTCTCTGCTTGTCTTTCTCTCTCCGTCTCTCTCACTCTATATCTCTGTCTGTGTCTCTCTGCTCCTGTGTCTTATGTGTATCTCTCTCTCTCTCCCTGCCTCTCTCGTTCTATGTCTC